AGTCAGCTGCGGCGGCGGCGGCGGCGGTGAATCCCGGGCGTCAAGCAGTCTCTACGTCATCCGCTCTCGCGCGCACCGCACGCACGCACACGCACACGCACGGCCGCGCGCTCTAGGCCGTTGCCATTGACGACGGCGGCGGCTGCGGCCGCGAAAAGTCCCGTCGGGGGTCTCATTGATTCATCTCGCGCGTGCAAGCTCGCTCTCTGGCACCCGCCCGCCGCGCCGCCGGCCGCCCGGCACCGCCGCCCGCCGGCCCGTCCGCGAGTACACGCGCGACGTTCGTCCCGCAGAGCGCGCGTGGTCCCATTAGTGGTGGCGGTGCCGGTGGTGGCGGCGGTGCGGGCGGGAGGTAGGAAACTCTCGGGGCCTTTCCGTTTTGCACCTACGACTCCGGGATACCACCGCCGCCGCCGCCGCCGCCGCCAGTAGGTCTCACTCCGCTCCCCGCGAGCCACTGCACTGCCGCTCCGTCAACGGTCGCTAAGGCAACGGCTCGCGACGAACGGCGGCCCCGGCGGCGGCGGCGCTTTATCCCGCGCTCGCATCATCCCGTTTCCCCGAATAATATTATATTCTCGACGGGCTCCAGACCGGCTGCCATAACAATATCGCCACCGCCGCCGCCGCCGCCGCCGCCACTGCTGACCGAATATCCGCGCTGCCGCCCCGCGACGACGACCACTGTCCGTCATTATTTACCCGTTCGCGTATATATATATATATACACACACAAACATTTTACGTATACATAATTCACGGGAGCGCGCGCGCGTTCGTCTCCGTCCACAAACATTATTGTTGCGATATACGCTCGCGCACAGATGACATTGTTTTGCTATTGTATGGACACGCATTATACACACGCGGTTGTTTGTATTATTTTCGTATCGACCGCCCGGCGTTTACGACTTGAGGGCCCCCTTGCTCTCAAGTCACGGAAACGTCGTGGCCCCCTAGTTTTCTACGGTATACGTGTATAGCGTAGCAAACTAGGGGTCCAATCTAACCGAATACAAACAGGGGTACTAAGCGCAGCACAAAGATCGTACTTTCCACTCGCAATTTGTTTTCCCCGTGTCAGGCGTGCTGTGATTATATTATATGATAATGCGATTAGTTATATTACAAAAAATAAAAATATAATATTAATGGTTTTTAGGGTATCATTTACTCAGAATGAATCTCAGTTTTATACAATAATTATTGTCAATTATTTTGGCTGCGCTATTCACTCGGGATTTATTCATTTTGGCGCAGAGAAAATAAAATTAGAGGCTAAAGTTTCACGCGGTGTTAACTAAAATTACAATGGATTCAATGGATAGAAAGAGTAAAAAGACCATTGAAAGTATTGAAATTATTAAAGCCATCATTCAACATGATAGTTTGACGAATAGCGTGTAATCCAAAGATTTTCGGGAGAGAGAGGGATCTTTCTAGGGATTCTACATAGTCCCACAAAAACGTCCGTGTGAACGGGAGGAGAGACGCGGAGATCCGAATCGAAGACGAGTAGATGAAGGAGAAAAAAAAAGAATAAGTTTTTTTTCGATTTTTTTAGCTATCTCGATAAAGACCTTTGTCTGGATACAAAATGAAAAAAATATGTGCGCACGAGTTGCGGGCGACGGCGTTATATTTTTGAACATCGGCAACGTCGGAAAACGGTTTTTAGTGACTTCCGGGAGAAAAACCCGAGCAGGCAGCAGCAGCTGATGATGATGATGTACCGCGATCGGATTCGGCTGCTCGGAGCGACGTGCCGACGAACAGAGGATCGATTAAAAAAAAAACCCCCTCCTGCGGTAAAATTATTACCCCCGGGCGAGTGTGTAAACATACAGAGTGGCGATAACGGTTAGTAATAATATTCTCTGCAATAAAATACACTTTAACTGTCGTGCGAAATATCGAGAATGACAATTTCGGGGGATTTTCGATTCGGCTCTAATATCGACGTCGAGTGAATTCGTGCGGATCGCATGCTAAAATTATAAATGTGATTTTTTTTTTTTTATTTCCCCCTCCGATTGTGAGATCGAGGCAACCAAACACACGTCAACGCGAGTATCTACGTTTATCCACAAAACGGCGATTTCGATGAATTTCATATAAAGAAATAAATATTCGCAGCCAATTTCGACAACCGTAAATTGATATACATCATCCCAGGATATATTTAGTGACTATCCATTGCCTGTCCACTCTCCTCTCCCTTGAATAAAAACTCTACGAACAGTTACCCTTCCCCCCAAAGTGAGTGATATTTCCTATATTATTTTGTTACGGAATTCAATTTATTTTCTAGTAGATACTAATTAAGCGAGAGGTTATAGACCTGGAGACGTTCCTAGCTAAGAAAGTGCGACAAATTTTTAGGGGAGTGTGAACATTTTAAAAACTCCACGGAACGAATGATGAATATATTCCAATTTGTATACTCCAGCAATATACTCCAGTGATGGATTACTTTATACAATATTTCAAAAGAGGGCCTGTACGTCAAACGTTTCAGATCCCTTGCTCTGATGGGTGTCTAATAGAGTTCACCGTGCCTATGTTCATTTGGACACAGAAACAGCCTTGAAAAATGCCCCGGTCGATTGGGTGGAGAAATAATTTTTGAATTATATCGACAAAACGGTCATCGTGATTAATTAAAACAGTGAATCGATAAAAAAAAATAATAGTAGTGGCCAATTAAAACGGCTCTGTCGAGCTTATCGAGAAACAAAAAACAAATCTGCAGTGCGTCCGGGGAATTTTTTTTTATTTGCATAATATTAATTTGCGCGTTTTATTACAACGATTTTATTGGTAGGCGGGCGGCAGCCCACCGCCAACGTCACTCGAATTTCTGAATAATATAAAACCGTCCCACATTTTTATTTTTCTCATAGAGAATACTAATAATAAAATAATGTACGGTTTTAATTATTGCAGTAAACTCCGGCTAGAGGTACACAGTTCAGTTTCACTGAAGAGCTTCGCGACGAATTCAAAAAAATAATAAATAGCCGATACTACCGGTGGGAGCGACACTATTTTACGCGAGAAATTGGAAAGGTAGGATACAAACATTTATTCTATTTATATCTGTGAGCATCGATACACCATTACTAACGAAACACGATTCTGAGCAAAGTTTTTTATATTATTATTAAATATTTTAAATATTGGAAAATCTTGTAAAATTAATTTCAATACAATTATTAATCAGTCTTAAAACAGACTCAACAAAAAGAGGAAGAAACTTGAATTGACATAAATGTTTAATTTTAATAATTGACTGTTTATGCAACTTTTTAATGCTTTTATTAATGTAATCGTTGATCATACGTTTTTGTCATCGTGTTTTAAAGTGTTTAGGTATACCGAAATTAAATAAACTTCGAACCCTCCCTTCAATACAAATTTTCCATGTTGCGCCAATGAAATCATCCCCAATGAATAAAAAATGAATAGTAAAAACGCTACGTTATTTTGCATTATCAATGAAGGTATAATACTATACTTTCTTATTTATCGTTTATCTACTAATAGAAATACATATTAACTTAAAATATTTGTTGTATAATGAATAACAATAGTGTGATCATGTAGAGTGAACCGAGTAAATTTTGCTTGATTTTCAAACGATTCACTACGGATAAATTTGTCCAAAAATACGATTACCAAAATCGAACCGTGTAAACACGTGGTTTATGCTCGGAATCTAAAAATTCCATTAGCTATGGCGCGAAAATCGTATTAATATTTCGACAAGAATACAAATCCCACAACATAAACAAAATTAGCGTATCAAAATATTCCGACTGTATATAATATATGTGCCCACGTAATTCCAAGAAGGGGGACCGAAGTTTTTTAGAGTTACCACGACGACGTGAAGTTATTAAACATACATCAGCTGAAAGTCATCGTCGTTGTCATAGCAGAAACCCGACAGATCGAGTTAGAATGTTCAGCGTTTTGAAATACTAAGCGCGGAGAGAGATAATGTCAGCAGATAATATAGGTAGGTGATTTATGTACTTGCAGGCGCGTCGGAATACGAAATAATAATATATTTTTATACGATCGTAAATGAAAATGTTGATAGTGAATTTTCGAAAGGTTATATTTTTCTAACTGTGCATGTTGCAGCTTATTTATAATATTTAAATTTCGCTAGTTTTCCGGAAATTAAACGGACGGACTTACCGAAGTTCCGTCTGGGCTTTGAGTATAATAATTAGCGGATAACATAACCGCGGAGAGAGTGGACACTGAGAATAAACAGTGTGTGTATAAATCAGATAACGTTCGAAGAAAAAATTATTTCACACAGAGATCGGCAAACAATAAGGAATACCGATGATGCGATTTATACGTTAATACTAAAATATACTGAAAAAAAAAAAAAAAAAAGGGGGGCTGTAGAAGTTTAGAAGGTATACCAATTATTGAAAGATTTTGGGAATAGAAATAATAGAGATTGCTGGAGCAGGAGTGGTCGTATGAGAAATCTCGGACTGTTATAGAGGCCTAATAAGTTTAAATGATTATGATAAGGCGCAAAACAACTCGCTAAAAATATTCACACTGAAAACATGAATATTTCACGGGCCTGTAACTAATACCTGTACAATTTGTCTATCACTGTCTTGTCATTAATCTCGTTCGTCGAAAGCGAAGAAAACAAATCCGTCGAAATGTATTTCCATAACGAACAAACCGTCTGAAATCGATTAGTCCTAGACGTCAAATTGTTCAAACATCGTTAGCCACATGCAGACGGAATTGTTAGAAGAATTTTGAAAAAAAAAAAGTTTTTCTCTCTTGCAGTTCAGTAAATCCTCTATGCTTGCGGTTAGGTTAGGTTCGCTCAATCGTGGGCCGAGGTGGATATTTAATTTTTTATTCAAAGGCAGTATACCTACCTACTCGCTAAGTCAATATGGCACGCTCTTTTCCAACCCTCTCCGTATCGTTTACCCGAATTTCGTATATTTATAGGATTATAGTTATTTAGTTTTTGATACGGTACATAAAATACCTTCTTTGTCATTCGCCCAGCAATCTTTTCGATTTATGTCCGATCATCCCTATCTAGGTCCTAGATTCTAGGACATCTTCAATGCTCGTTTGGTACTTGGTTTCTATCTCTACACATACACGACACACCTCGGCCATATTTTTAAAAAACCCCTATTATTCCAGACTCCCCATATAACTGTCCCTTCATTTTCTCATTTGTTTTTATCTCCCAATTCCCATTATCATTTTTCTTCGGACCAAAGATTCCTATTAAATTACTAAAACTCGTCAAATTATTAAATGCGTTAAAATAATTGAAATATCAACTGCTGAAACCACACAACTCCATTTCTATAATATTTTTGTTTACATCATTTATTTATAAAATAGTTATTTTATCATAAAAATATATAATAATAACCTTAAATCGTTTTCCTTAATTCTTAAAAAAAACTAAAAAGTTAATGACTTGCTGGAGTTTTAAGTTTATTGCTCAGACGTTAATTATGAGTGTAAACTTTCAAACATTTTTTAAAAATTAAATATGAAAAAAACTGGGGGAATATAATAAGTATCTACTTAAGAAACTAAAATAAAACAAATATATTGTGGGTTACTCCTTGTCAATCTCATAAAACATGATTATATATAAATAATAAATTATTGCATCAAAAAAAAAATTATAATGTAAGCGTATGTTACCTACTTTATAAAAATCTATTAAATTTTACTATGTTAAAAAAGAAGTATTGCAGATATACGATTCGTCAAAAGCGTCTAATTTAAGTCTATCGTCTATTTTTACAAAAACACTATTTAAAAACAAATACGTTAGACTTCAAAAACTAATCGTTAAATTTCAAACAAGTAAAGTATAATAAATTGTGATAATAGACCATGCCTGACTTTACATTCGATGCAACAACAAGACAACACCTGAGTGATTTAATTGTTGTACGTAATTCAAAATTCAAACAACTCTATTTTTACGGATAATTCATCTACTGAATACCGGAGTAGTACTGTCATAGCACCCACTTGTATATAATTGTTTTCTTAACACAACAAAACGGTTTTATTAAAAAAATAGAATCGTTTGGTTATTGCATTGGACTCTTCAATTATTATTATCACCCCTCACCCCTCAGTAGTTTGACCTAAATACGACAATAATAATTATACAAGCTATTATCGGGTTTTTTTTTTTTTTTTTTTTTAATAGACAATTTATATAAATCAACTCTTGGTATACATGTTTTACAATATAATTTTATTTGTATAGGGTAGTGGGAGAAAAAAAACTAATAAAACCTTGACTCGATTTAAAACTCGTGGCTTTCGTTTATTTATATGTTTTTTTTTCAAATCGAGTTTCACGGAAAATTCCATTATAAAAAAAAAAATAAATAAATAAAATTGTCCGATCGTTTCGATTTAAAATTATAAAATCCATTTTCGTTATACCCTCGTGGTACAACTTTCCACCGCCTATATTCCACTCGCTAATACACCATGTGGGCGAACTGTATAATTACATTTAAATCAACCGGAATCGGGCATCAGTCTGTTGGAGAATTCCCTTTGAGCTGCGCTACGAAGAGAGATATTTATTTAGTTTTCTATACACGTACGCACGTCAAACGGCTAATAAAAAAAAAAAAAAACCACGTAAGAGCACTCGACGAGTTCTCTACGAGTTACTATCCGTCCCTACACGTACTTACGTACACTTTTTGATAACTGCATATGTATTTAAATCGACGACAATAATAGTTAACAGGTGATAAGTCCTTTGCACCGTAATTTTAAAATGTCGAATTCAAATTTGTACACTGTTCTCGTAACGGTAATTTCGGTAACGAATATCATAACCGTATTATGATAACTTTTTTAGTCTCTCGCGTTTTTGGAATCTCTTATCGCGTCAATCAAAATTCACGTTGTATTAAAAAAAAATGGATTCGGGATCTAAATATTACAATTTCGGAAAAAAACTGTTGGTAAAAACATCCGAGGAAAAAATACCCACAACACAAAACTATTTCATATTCAAATAAATATATTAAACAAATTTAAAATTGTTTGATACAAGAGTATTATTATTATTTTAAATTTTTTGAATTTGGACATTTGGCACCGGTCATATTTTACTCTGGGTATTTTTCTGCCGACATAGACTTGATAGAATTTATATTTTATACGAAATAACATGCACTAACTGACTGGCCGATTCATCATCGCCTAGCCGGAACCGCAATGCTATGAGTATGAAATTTGGTTATAGTTTCGTTTTATGATATAGAGACCCAGTAAAAAAGTTTTGTCCAAAATTCAACCCTTAAGGTGGGGTTCAAAAGGGTGTAAGGGATTAAAACTGAAAATGTTATTTTTTGGTCGGATAGTAAAAAGGCTTAAACATTATATTTGGTAGGATTTTTTTGAATCTGCGCCGTTACCATTGAAGCTATCGCATTTTTAATTACATAATACTATATATTATAATAGGAAAACGTGACTGACTGACTGATCAATCAACGCACACTTCAAACCACTGGATCGAACTCAAATTTGGCGTGCAGATAGATAATATGACGTAAGCATATCCACTAAAAATGACGTTTTTAAGTTTCACCTCCAATGATGTAAAATGGGGGATGAAAGTCTACCTTAATTTGTTCAAAAACGTATTAATCCTCTTGGTTTTTACTTTGAACGACCTTTTTTTCGCCTTAAAATAAAGCTCAATGAGGACTAGCAACCTTAACTATAATTCAATCCCCAAAACTAACCTTGACTGAAAAACTAATCACAATAAAATAACTATTATTATAACTTGACTTTTGGAAAAGGGTTTTACACGACGCATGAATAGTATTAGGATCGGTAAAACCCACCCCATTCCCAATTTTTAGAATATTAAAAGGAGATGGCAAGTTAAATTCTATGCTTATTATGATAAATCAGATTGGACGATTTTAGACAAAAATATGACAGTGAAACCTTAAAAGGGAGTAGATTAGTGAAGTGGGTAATTTTAGGCACACATAATGGGATTCCTGAAATGAGTTCATGAGAAAGCTGGCAATAACTTCCAATGTCGAAGAGGAGGGTGTAAAGATTGATGATTTATGGATTAAAATAGGATGTCCAAAATGGTTCGTGACCAGTAACCCCCGGTATGTACTAATTTGGACCAAAATGTACGGTGCATACACTCGTTATACTGTACAGACATGTAAACTGCAGTATACTGGACAAATCACGGTCAAAATCGTGGGAAATACAACTAGTATTAAAATATATATTATGTTTATCGGTTTACATCAACATTGACATAAGTATATAGAACCGAACGGTAAACAACAGTCTGCAAACAATACATCAAACAGAAGATTTAATTAATGCGATAAAACAATATTATGATACGCGTCCGAATCAATAACTCAACAGTGACATATTCTGTTATGCCCACAACTCCATTTCCCTCAAAAAAAAAAAAAATCCCGCCAACAATGATAATTCCAATAACAATATGGCTACGGGACAAGTAAATGCGTAAATGATATAACTTGATTAAGTTAAGGTTATTGAAAGTTAACACGTTAAAAGTGAATTGTTTTTTCCAGTATATTATCTATTATGACTAAAAAATGAAATCTAACGTTTAATTAATTTGTTAGTTAATATCTAGGTTTTCTTTTTTTTTAAGTTTTTTTTGTCATATTATGTAGCGAACAAACGTTTAAACTATTTTGTTATTTTTCAAAAGTATGAGAAAGACCGGCAATGTTAAAAACATAGGAGTTTTATTTCAAGAACATTTAATTATACTTATTTCAAATTCGAAATTCCACACAAATTGTTGAGCGGACAAGTTATTATTATTAATACGGTGATACGCATTACGAAAAATGTATAGTGTACATAGTTTGTACATTTAAAAGGAATTGAAATCAAAACTATTAACGTGATATAGTTCGAAATTAACTCGTTATTTATGAAGTTGGCGTGCACAAAATTAAGGCAAATTAAAAATTAAAATTAACGCAACATTAAGTATTCTTTAGTTCGTTAATGACCAGCCTTACCGCAGGTGTAAGTACGGTAATAAAAATGTTTTAGCAATATTTCCATAATATATCAAACGTTTTTTTATACTCGTTATAAAATCATTGAAAATGCATAAATAAATATTTAAAAAAAAAAAAATAACAAGAAGATCCGTGTTGCAGGATTTAGATTTTATAGTGCGTGTATTCAGTGGGTTAGCTTCACGGTTTGTTTGTTTAGCTTCTCTTTTTTTTTTATAAATATAAATATAAATTATCACATCGAATACAAAATTAAATTTGCGTCTGAAATGTGTACAAAAAAAAAAAACCCCAGTTATGTATTATGCAGACCGTTAAAATATTTTAAATCCGAAATGGTCATAACGGATTTATATTATCCATCAAAAATGTATTTCGCGTCAGTAAATATTATTATTTATATTCCATTAATTTTTTATTTATTTTGTCAATCATTTTTTTTTTTTTTTGTTTTATATTATTTTTTAATGTTTTTCATCGAAATTTTAAATTTTGTTAAATATATCAGCAGTCGTATATAATAATATTTAAAGCACCTACGACCACACATTTGGAATTAAAATGGGCTTTTTTTTCTGCGTTTTGTTATTCGAGTATTAATAAAATTTCAAAAAAAAAAATAAAATAAAAATCCCCACATTCGTGTTAAAGATTACATTTTTCGTAGAAATCAAACACGAAAAATAGAAATAAAGAAAAAGACCATAATACTTAAACACGGCTAACGAGTAGGTCATAAAATCGTTTTCCTCTTACAGTATATACGTATTTCTATAACGACACTTTTGTTTTTGATCGACTTTTAAAAGCGGAAAATCGACCGCGTAAAACTATACGATTTGGGTAAACTAGTTTTAAAAAGTAATAATATTGCATTACTTGCTGTAGTAAAAAAAATAGTACCTGATTAAATTACTTCTACTTTATCGTTGCGTAATTTTTAATACCTATTTAGTTACGCTCAGGGGTGGATTGGTCTGTCGAGAAATTGGGAACCTTCTCGATGGGCCGGTCTTCGTAAGGGCCACTATATCATTATGTTATTAAATAAGGTATTAGGGTAAAAATGTATTGTATTCTTTTGAACGAAGTTAATAAATCCAGTGTTCGAACAATTTAATAATAAAAGTTAGTTTTATGTAGATAACTTATGTCATATTATTAACTACAGGTTCGGGTAGTTAATATTTTAACAAATCTGCATTATTTTATTTAAAATTTATCTGTTATCGTGTTAAATATTTAAACTAATTCAGAAGATATTAAATACACACATTTGATATTAGCTACTTTAAAACCAGTTTATAAACAAAATACAAACAAGCATGGTCAATTTTTTTAAGAAAGACTAGAGAAAATTTATTTGTGTTCAAAAGAACAATTTTCTAAATGTGTAGTATCTTTTTTTCTGTGTAATTTTCAACTTGTAGCATGGTTAGACACGTGGAAGGGAATGCTCGATATTCTTGATATCCCTTCAAAATCGATACTCCTAGAATTTTCAAAATATTATAGTGTTTAATCTTTACAATACCTTTTGATAATTATACAAAATATTCTACAAATGTCAATTTTTTTTAAAATGTGTATTTTAAATTGTATTTAATGATTTGGTCGATAACTGAGGGGATGTGGTGAAAACTCCTCACGTTTTACGATGATATATAGATTTATATCGCTCCTGAAATTTGATTCTATTTCACACCTTTGATTTTTTGTAAGTTCGTTGTGTAAGGCCTATTTAATTCATATTTCCCAGGCCGAAACATATCACCGATCCACCCCGGGTTACAAGGCATTTTGATTTAAAAATTAGGTTTACATAAATAGTTATTATATATTTATTTTTTGAACACAAATATTAATAGCTATTATCGTTGTTATCAATGTTATCGAATTGACATAGCATAGAGTATATGCTTGAATTGGGAAAATCAAATAAAGAAGGCTAAGAGATATAAAAAAAGTAGCAATAATTAAATCCATCCTGATAAAATTTCACAACAAATAGAATACAAACATTGTTAGATCAACAGTCATTATTAATTAATAGCGTTACATGATTGGATAGTTATAACTTTATACCTCAAGTAATCTGAAGCACTCAGCCATCATTAACCGTAATTATCATTAGTAATCAGTTTTTGAATCATATAAGGTGACAAACGTGCAATACAAAAAATTGATAATAATTTTTTACTGGACAATAAATCCTAAAAAACTATACTTAATTTATTTGAGTTAACGATAAGGCAATAAATATTTTTTTTAAATATTATTATTTACTCGAAAATAAGGTATACAATATATATAGGAGAGTATTCTATTCTTGTGTATTTATATGTATATATACATACAAGAATAAAATTTGTTGGTTGAACAAATAAAAATAAATATTGTTAATTTTTAATAAATATTTTTTATACATTTTTATTAGAGCTATGTTTAAAATAACTGCAATATTTGGGGTGTTTCAAATTTCCTAAAACTTCCCTGCGTCTGCCACTGGCACAGCTCAACGCAAGAAATTTCCCTGTAGATCTTGTTAACTGAATTTTATCGAGATAACAACAGCAAATCATAATGTGAAAGCACATGCTATAGGATATCACAAGTCTATACGTTTAATGTCAGCGTTACGAAAAATGAAAAGGAATTTTCAATCGAAACATATAAGTTTAAGTCGTGCTAATGGCTTGGGACATCCATTTGCAATAAATTGATTTGTCTTGTTGCCATTCTGGGAAGTTTTTCACCGTGGGTGAGGGGAAGGGGAAAAAAAAGAACACAATCCCGGCATCGCGGTTCTTGTAAATGTCTTTGAATTTGTTTAAAGTCTTGTTGTGTATACGGTGATGGTTACGCGGCGAAACGCATTAGTCGTGAGCAACTGTCACAGGAACGTGCAGCAAACAATTTATCGACAGCCTCTGTGACGACGACAACGGTCATGTTTATCGTATTGATAAAGAAGTTCTGATGAGCAAACTAAATAAAAAAAATAAATCGACTTACGAAAGAAAAAAAATAGGCAGGTACACCAGCGAGTAACCGAATTCGAATTGAAAAAAAAAGATAGGTATATCTTCCAATATATCTATTCAATATTCCAATAAAATACAGTGAAAAGAGCAAAATAACAAAAGTATATATAAAATATACCTACCCATAACGAGAAAATATTGTTTAAGATTACTAAGAGGTACTGGGATAGACAGCTTAATAATATCCATAATATCCACAACTTTGTATACTATCTACATTGAACTACCTGTCATAAAGTTAGGTTTATACAGTTGATTTTTTAAGCATTTTTTATAAAAGTTGGAAAAACGGGACAGCTCAAGGCAATAAGGGTTTAATATTTTTTTTTACAGTCAATCGATTAAAAATAATCGTAGAGATTTGACATTTTCACAAAACATTAATTTTAGCTTATTCTAAACGTGATTAAATATTTTGACTGATTTTTATAGATATTTTATATTTTTAAATTTTTTTTTAATGTATTTATATGGTTATATTACGTTTTATGTGGACAAATTTGATTTGACGAACAGACATCTTTGACAATTTTACTCAGGGTAGATTATATTTATGTGAACACTTTTTCTACCAGAAAGCTTATTCTGATTATCAAGTATAGCATCTTTTCTGAAAGGAAATGTTCTTTGAGCGGTACTTTAAAGACGTCATTTTTTGATATTCTCATTAATGTTCAAGATAATAAGGAAAACTTGGTTCTTTAGGTTAAGATTGAAAGATTAAAAATAAGGTTGTCACTGGCAACCGTTTTTATTTATTTTTTGCTATTATTAAGTTTTCATTATTTTAATATTTTCCAGACAATCATTGTTGTCATGGAAACGCGCATTGTTGTAATCATTTTACCATAATAATATGACATATAATTTATTGTTGACAAAGCAACACTACCAACTGAACTCCGCTCAGAATCGTTTTTTCGTTAGCAATTGTCTATCGTTGCTTACATATATACATTAAATTTCTATCTGTATCCTAAATTCCCAACTTCCCACCTACAACAATGGCTGCACCCACGTGCGAAGTACATCTGCCCTTTTTAAGTTTGACAATAAAAATCTTTTGGATGGATTTTTTTCTCGGTGAAATATTATGCGATATATTCGCGACCATTCTTAATATTACGTTAAATTATTTGAAAAATATATTATGTATTTTTGTCATCGCAAAAGAACTGTTTTCGATTCCTAGCAATTCGCCTGCATTATTATTAAAATGTCTGAATGGATTGGATTCGAACGTAATAATATACAGTAGGTAACATAATAACCTGTATATTTTCGCGAACTCAACGGTTCGGCGCAGTGCTTCTTTAAAACTTCTTAAATACGGTTCCAATAGGTGCCCGCCGAGAAATTTCGAAGTCGAATAATCGACGCGAGATACTTTGGTCGCCGTCACGAGTGTCTGGAAAAGTTTCAAAAGTTTTTTTTTCCAACAGTAATAAAAAAAAAAAAAATAAAAAACCATAATAATCGAAATAACTATGTATACGTGAATATAATAATAATACTACCTATCGTACGCACCGTCGGTTTGAGTGTATGTTTTTGACGTGCTCCCGGACGGTAGCCAAATCGACTGTATTGTACAGGTCGGTATGATATTAATATGTGTAGCGATCTGTAGAGAAAAAAAAAGCCGTTCGACAATCGGATACTCGATAATTGGCCGTATATTCATATTCCGCGCGAGTTAAATTCCCAAAATATGTATTAATACACTACACCTAACAATGGACGCAGCACGTTCGGGTATAGATATGTGCACAGACATATCAAACAACTAGAGAGCCGACTCTTGTGTTAAAAGTCTCATAAAACCAATGGGGCCATTATAGCCATATGCGAAAAGAACAGTATACGATCGATTAATTCATGGATTATAATATGATAAATTTAACATAATTAACAAAAACAAATTTTTAATTTAATTTGTTTTTGGCATAGATATATAATCAGAAATTGTTATTGTTTCAATAAATTATCATTATTATATTTTATGAAATAGTCTAAAATGGGATGGATTAATCAATCGTCATATGCGATAAGGACAAAATTGCCCTTTTCGTACACGGATGCCAGGCTACAATTTGAATCGTCGAACCGGCTACCTAGTTGTTTTATATAATGTCTGTGGGTATATGCGAATAGACCGTTTGGGATACACCGTCGAGTCTATGGAAAACCGTCTCGTTTGGGACACGAACTAATATAAATTTCGGACACGCCAATAATAAATATTTATTTCGATAGGTACTCGATGTAATAATAATACATTTTTTTTATCAAATATGTATATATATATACAATTTTACAATAATATACAGGAAAAAAAATACAAGTTGTGTGTTTGCAACCCCCCTTTAAGCATAATGCTTGTGTTGGGGGGGGGTATATAAATTTGAGTTCAGTGTTTGTAAAGTGTAAGACAGTGTAATTATTATAAATTCAAAAATAAAATTAAAAAAAAATATTAACATGCATAGATAATTGGGAAATAAGGTATATTTTACTAGGGATATGTTTATAATTTTACTTATTTACTTTCGGTACGGTTATTTAGTATTCATCTTGGACCGATCGGTGATACGAATTTCGCAACATCTTTATCGAGTCGATGTATCAATAATCATGAATTTCCGAGCCGGTTATCCGGTATTTTTTATAAATCTTCGAAGTACCCGAACGCGTTACGGCCTTAATAGTAATACGCGTTATCGATACAGTGGACGTCACGATAAAACAATATTACCTATACTATACTGTTTACACAGTATTTACGATATCATTGCAGTATTAACAAGCTAAACATCGTTTTCTGTTGTTTTTTTTTTTATCATTTTTTATAATACATAATATTGTAAACACTGTAGTCGTCCGCGATCGTCATTGGATATATTCCAATATATTATATCGAAAAATAGACATATACGTATTGTCCGCTGTTTGTACCGTGTGTGTATTTAAAGAGACGACGTTGTGTAACATACTGAAATCGTTATAAAAACGTTATTATTTTATAATATGAAAATGCGCCCAAAAATATATATACATATATAATAAACAGTTGAATACAAACGGATTCGCTCGTATTACGCGTTATTGATTTATAATTTCGAAAAATTTCGATTTAATGTGTTTCAAAACGGTAAAACACCGTTAATACGTTACCGCGTTAATTATTCGCTTCGGGGTATTTTACCGAACTGTATAACAATATTTGATCGGGCGGAGTAAAACAATGTGTTTAAAACGAGTAAAAATTAAAACGATCGTTATCGTTCAAATTACTGATTATATTTAGCGAAATATTTCAGTGCGAACGGAGTGATACTGAAATTGGTGATTTTTTTTTCTTTTTGTATTCTTATTATCACGCGCAATAAAACTTGCATTTTCCCTAATGGAAACGGCTTGAAAAATGAAGACTCTGACAATACCTATTGTTTTGCTAGAGGAAACATTCATCAGTCGAGATAACCATAAAACTGCGTAATTCGATTTCTCTGAAAACTCGAAGGGATGTTTATTGCACGAATCGTATTATTGAACGAACCTAACGTATCTCGGGCTATTATTGAAATGTATAAAAAAAAAATCGTACTTGGCAGCCAATTGGAAAAAAAATAAACCTAAAAGCGTGCATTTTAGTATCCGGCTCGATCTTACGACAAAAAACCACCCCGATTTCAATCACAGTCCCTGTCCGGTTGGAATAGGTAATTGATTCGTGTTATTATTGGATAAAACATAAAACACTGCGCGCATAGTGTACACGCCTATAGTTGTTTGCCACTATTCACTAAGAATATTCCCCAAAGAACGTTCCCGGGAACAGGAATTACTTTGGAAATATTCCGCTACCTCTAGGGAACACTCCTGAACAAAAAAAAAAATATAATAATAATAATAAAAAACTATACTATATTACTATTGTTATTTTTAAAAGACTATAATGACAAGTTTTGTGCATCTTTTTTTTATTTTTGGAAATTTTTTTACGATTATTTCGAAAAAAATATATTAGTTCAAATGTTTTATTTTTTACACCGGTGACTGACATTTAAACGTATATTGCTCGATTTATACTCGTACAATATTATATTGATATAAAGGGTGATCGATACTCGATAAGACAGTATCATTATGCCGGAAATTATGTACTTTTTTTCGAGTTGAAACCACGTTCCACGGATTGACGGAAATTAAAAACTCCAACGCCAAAATTAAATGTCATTTATTTATGGGGTTTTTAAATAAAAATCACCATTTAAAAATCAAAATAGCAGTTTCTGCCCCGTAAATAAAGGCAACGAAGAATAACAATAATGTAGCGTTTTAGAGCTACTTGTTTTGAATAAGTTGTTCAAAAAAAAAAAAAAAAACAATTCTGATATACGAGCAGAGTTGGGCATTATTTAAATACAATTTTATTTAAATGATTATTCGAATAAATTATTATTGGGATACATTTTTCATAGTTAATCGAATTAAAATTTATTCGAATCATTTTCAAACAAAATATAGAGCTCTATATAAAAATACTGTTGTGGCCAAAGAAGATAAATTTTAAATCATTAATAATTCATACTTCAGTATAGTTTGTGTTTATTTTAAATCTAATAGACACGTAAAATTGAAACTTTAAATGATATATTAGATAGAAACTAGAAAATCGAGCGATATTTTCACTTTCTGTAATAGTGACGGTAATTTATTCTATAGCTTTTTATTTCTTTTTATATTTTGAATTTAATTAAAACGATATAAAATCTACAATAGTGTGACTTAAAAATACAAGGCCAATTATTAATATATACGTATTTTAAATTACCAACCAATGTTCAACCAAATAAAATAAACGAAAATTATTCGAATACATTTGTATTTGAACAACAAGTTTTTACAATCATTCGAATACTCACGATTAAAACTATTGTAATAATAAAATTGTAAATAAATCACTCGAATAATTTCTCATTCTAATACACATTTATTCGAATAATTTATCTAGATAAAATTTCGCCCAACTTTGGAAACATGTGTCTATATTGTCGAGTGGTCGACCGCGTTGCTTGCGTCCGTCTGAAATCGCCCAAAAGTCGTCCTGCGACAGGACTCTTGTCCCGCCGCGATATTTGATGTCGACTGCGCAGAGTTAAATTACTGACTATCGAACGGAAATTATAATTTACCCGGAAATTCCTCAGTTCCCGTGGGCAGGGGAGGGGGGCGAGATATTCCGGGGAAAATATCGGGAATTCGCAAGTCGCGCGCGCGGTGACAGTATAACATTATTGTTATTTTTACATTACGACATACGCGTAAAATCCGCGTGGCCCCGTCGTCGGTTTTCGTTTCCCACCACGCTCCCGCCGAAAAGACGTCACACACGCGCTCGCGCGTACACGCACGATCGGTCGATTTGTTATCGGTTTTTTTTTTTTTTCGTCCCGATTTTATATTTAGTCGCTTATTCGGCCGTCGGCGAACGGGCGAATTCCAGCCGGAGAACCTTGCCGGTCGTCGCGATCGGGAAATGTACGGTCGACGGCCGGTGGCTGCCAAGACTCTCGTATCTATGCGACGGCGACGCGATAGGAAATAGCAATACGAATATTCGCACGGCGATTTAAACGGTAAACTATTTAGGCCGCGACAGGACGGGCGGCGGCGGCGGCGGCGCAACAATCGGAATGAACGACGGGACGCGCGCAGAGATATGCGCGTCTATTTTTGTTGTGCGCGCCACAGAGAATAAAATGTTATTTCTCGTTCGCGGACAGGGACAGAAAAAAAAAACCGACAACAACTTTGCCGGTGTCGCGAAGACGGCCAAAACCTATCGTACGACATCGACCGACGCCGGCAGGTCAATAATATTGTAATAATCGTCGTAAAAGCATATACAGTGTGTCCCACCGCGTCCGGCGGATTTTCCTAGCCCAGCCGGTATCGATTATATTTGTTCGCGGTTCTTTTCGACGATCCCCGTACGAGACACGCTCGGTGTCGCGAAAAGCGTCAACTTTTTTCCGTTTCCCCCCCCCCGGACAATTTCAAAAACGAACGACTATGGTCACCGTAACCGCTATTGATTATTATCGCTCTTGTTTGCGAATCATGTCCGTCGGTTTTGGTGCGTAGTTTTGTTAGTAAATTGAAAAAACTGGACACGTTTTTTCGTGTAGTTTTCTGTCGAATTCCGGGTTACCTTGGTGACAAGGGAAACAAATACAATTAACAATAAAATCATTTTTTTGTCAGCAATGGTATACCATTGTGTACAGATACGAGTTATACAAGTTACTCTCTTCACATCATCCCTTTCGACTTCTATTCCACATAGCACGCCAATCAGCAGTATCAGCCTAGATTTTTTTTTTTTTCTGAAAACTTGATATATATTTCCAAAGTATTGTGATATTATTAAATCTATAGAATTTTTGATACCTGACCTGTGACGAACCTAACCTAAAAATAAGGATGGACACTGTAAAACACATGACGGAGCCGTATATTATACTTGTGTGAAGTATAAGTTCATTTCCATTCTCTTCCCCCACCCCTGAAAAAGCAGGGCAGAAGTTAGTTACTTATCAATAAAAACAAATCAAAAGTTCAAAGCTAATACTTAGTTAAAAGTTAAAATGAACTCAAGTATTCAACTTTTTAACTTAATCACTTACGTTTTCGAGTGCCCCAAAATTATTTTCTGTGTCCGTTTAAATCTATTAACAACGACTGAAACGAAATGGAAAATTTGAACACGCGTAAAATATATTATACTCTCATATATTATAATAAACTTCAAGAATAACAGGTGCGTATAATGTAAGTAAAACGTTGTTATAAATTGAAATTTCACAAAGCGTCTTGCGTTATATACGCTAACAGTATAAATTTCTATAAAAGTGTATTTTTTTTTTCCAACAAAACCGTTTCAGTATTATGTCAAAACTAATTCATTTAAAAGTAACTCATCTGTAAGCCATTTTCCTTTAAAACTCAGATACTATTTTCGTTCACTGATTTCCATTAAAAAATGAGTAATTGCCACTCTCCTTATAATAATTTGTGTATAGGTCAGGTAATAATACTTCAATTATAATACTCTAAAGCCCGGGTATAAATAAATAAATTAAATTGATTTTTAATTTTGAAAACTACCTACGTAATTTATGTTATTTTACACCGATTTTATTATTTCCATCGACAAACTATGTAATATTTATACAAAACAAAAAAACCATTTAATACAAATTAAAAAAAATGTGCCGGCTAAAATTGTTATTTTTACTTTATATGTATATTTTTTGCATCAAATTAATTTTAATATTTTAATGAAAATATGTATTAATTTAATCTAAAAAAACAAAAAAAATGCCTGGACGAAAACGGAAAGTGGGGTATCTTTTTTACGGAGGAAAATCAACAGTGAAGGAAAACAGTATCAAATACCGGAAGAAACTTGTCCCGCAATATTCATTATGTATCCCGGATGTAAATAAAAAAAAAACAAACAGATATGCTTTGTACGATTGTTGGGCCACCCTTATAGGTGAGAAGTTGGGAAGGAAGTAGGGAAGAGGAGAAATTTAATGTATATTTGTACGTAACCGTTCATCGTTGCTAACGAAAAACGATTCTGACCGGAGTGCGGTTATACAATGTTTGAAAAGCCGTAATATTTACGATTTGAAAATAATACGTTTCGTAAATTTTCCCGATTTCCCTACGTTTTTTCTCCGTTTTTTCCGTTTATTATGAAACCCCCTGGGAAAATCCTAAAATGACATCGCTATAAAGTACCATCCCTGTAAAGTTCTCAAAAAGGTGCAATACTTGAAAACTGGATCAAAATTTCTGAAACGTTGTTCACAGAAAAAAAATAAACATCATTATAAAACCAATACATTCCTCGATCTGTTTAGAATCCATAACGGTTCTAAACTGAGTAAATATTCAAAATAATCGCACTGAGGCTGTGTATTTATTTCATTTGCCTGCAGGAAACTTCGGGTCCACGGTAAATACATGACAATAATACGAACGCAAATAATACATCGAAATCATATTATTATTAAACCCGTGAGTATTATATTACAAAACAAATATGTTTAGGTACACATTATTCATTTCCTGCGTACATAGAAAGCGGAAAAAAAACGTATCGTATCCGGCCGTTTCGTATATTATAATATATATAGTGACCTGCGTATTATTATACGATTAAAATTCAGACAACCTCCGAGAAAACAAATATTATACTGCAGAGTCCCGAAAATATATAACAAAAACGAACGCATTGTTGTAGGCCTTTACGGTAAAAAAAAAATAAAAAAATAAAAAATCGATCCCCTCGTTTCCCCCGGTTTTTTAAGCGTAGAAAAGTACGAGAATTTCAGTTTTCGGTATAGGCCATCATTGAATGATATTATAACGATAAGACGGCAGCGGTGGTTTTGCATAAAACCGAGAGCGCTAAGTAAAATAATAATATAAAGTTATTAAGTTCCGGAGAAATATTCGGCGACTTGTGGCCGTATTCATAATTTTCTCGATTATTAAAAGTTGAACGGGCATTGTTGTGGCGCATATTCGAAACTTATACACATCAAAATACCGAGGAGCTCGTATATTAATATTACGTCAGTGAATCGTAATTAATACAGTGTTGTTGATTTTTCAAAAAATATTATAATACGCGCGTTTATTAACAAATGGAGTTAATAAAAAAAAAAAAAATTGTACCGCAATTTAAACCATATAGAAAAGATTCAAAAACATTTTTTTACGTTTTTCTGCTTATAAAACTAATTATCCTTACCATAACGCTGATGAGATTGCTAACTTTGTGGGTTTAAAGTCTCTAAAAACTAGAAGGTTAACATATGATGTATCTTTTATGTATATGATTTTGAATGATGTTATCGACTGCCCTGAATTGTTACAAAAAATTGATCCAAAAGTACCCTCTTTTAATTCCAAAATTAATCCACCTTTTGCTACTTCTAATTCTAATAATAATTACTTTTCAAACAATCCAGTGTGTCGCCAACCAATATTGTGTAATCAAATTCATAATTTTGATTTTTCTTTCCTTATAATAATAATTTTGATTCCTGTTCTAAGCTAAAAACTTGTATTTATAATTAAAATATGTATAATTTAATGATAATTTTTGTTTTTTCGTTTACTGTACTTTTACCCTTTGGGGTGTTATATATGTTTATATTCATTTTTTGTTTAATAAACATATATCTATCATATGTATAACGTCAATTTGGAATTTGAAGAGACTCGAAAAAATCAAAACAAACACGATGATAAAACGTACAAGAACCGCAGTTATTAAGAGGACGCACCGTTTCCGTCTAAAACAACACGCGAGAAATAGTGAATTTATGTTCAGCAGGAGTGAATATATTTGCGTGCTGTTAGTTTTAGCGTATTGGAGTGAATCGACTTGTTATCAAACTTAAGAGGGAGGACCATTTGTAATTACTAAATACTTTGTAGGTACGTTGGTTTCCCCCTCATCCTTTATTTTAATCTTTAGGTCAGCAAGACGATTTACGAGTGCACAATTTAAAAATGTTTGTATCTCGCTTTAAATTTAAAATATCTAAAAAAAAAGCCTACTCACAAATACAGATAACGCTATTCTTTTTACGCAAATAACGCGTACTCGTGCTCTTCCTCCCAGTTATAAAGAAAATTATGAAAACATTTTTAAAAATCAACCTTCGTGAATTCCGAATAGACAACACTTTCTTTCTGAAGAGATGCGATGCTTGTGGAGATTGGATTAAGATTTTTAGTAGAAAAGTTGTTTTCAAACATAAAAATATACATACATACACGCATACTATAGTCAAACCAAAACGAGACTACATTTTTGACTACAAAGAAAATTAGGACAACTTTTGGGTATAACTTACAATTAAGTTGTCATTGTTAAAGTTATCGCGAAAAAAAATATTTTATCTTCTTACAAAATTGACTTATGGGAAACCTAATATCCTCTCGTATCCTCTCGCAGAAGTAATAATGGTAGAATATTTTAGCCATGTTTAGAAACACGTTGATAAGGAAAAATGATTGACAAAAGACCAGCAGGAATAGACGAAAGACATTACAATAAAATATGTACGGTTGACTCGGGATGACGTGCAAATAAAGAAGGCGATATTACTTCGAAGACTGGTAGAATAGAATAATGGGAGCAGCGATGGGACTTCGAGGTCCGCTAAACTGTAAAAAAATATAAAATATTCTGAATGCACGCTTGTACGAATATGGTTCCGAGATGACCTTTCAAATTTCTAGGATCATTGATTTGTTTAATACACAGAAAAAAAAAAATAATAAAACTCCAATATCAATACAGCGATATCATCGCGCTTGTTTCGGAAAACCAAATGTTAAAACGGTTTTTTTGTTTTTACGCGGTAAAGTATTATAAAAACAAAAAAAACGGATTTTTCCCGTTGTGACGAAACAAACATTCGTATATTGTACTATATATACGCGTATTATAAAAATAATTAGTTTTTGACAAGCCCAAAAGTGTCTAGGTGTTGGAAAAACACATTATCCCACACGCGCGTGTCCTGTATGTCTAGAAAGGATAATAATTTATAATAGAAACGCAGACACGTCCGTTTGATTAAAACGTATATGTAGTCTGTTGTTGATGGGGATTTTTTTTGTTTTTGTTTTTTTAAAGTTTTATGAAAAGTTATTACGCTAAGTGAAATATTTTAATAAAATCTCCAGTCTCACATGGACTGTTATAAATGTTTTAACGTATGCAACGTATTTTTCGTTACATAGTGTTATAAAAAAATTACCGGTAATATATTTTATCCGTAAAAACGTCGGCGCAAATCCGATTTTAATATTATTGTCGTTGAGTATTTTTAATATTGCTGAGGTGTTTTCTTCTTTTTTGAATATTTATTTGAGTCTTTAAAACATAATAACGAAAAGTATACAATTTAAATGTAATATAGGAAATTTAAAATGTTGACGTTTCGGTCGCACTAAAATAGATTCTCTTCTTTATTGGCGATTCGACAATGACGGTCAAGCTATACTGAAAATATTGATTCTTAGGATTTTGGAACGAATGCGTTACATTTTTTCCGGTCGAGCTTTATGCGGGCGTAGTGTTGTCCATTAAAAATACATTACAAAATGAGAAAAGTTTTTGGATCGAACGAATATTATTAGGGTTACTTCTTATATTCATATTACCGTCGATTCGATAATAAAATAATTAATGACAAAAACGAAGTTATTTTCGTGAATCCCATTATAACGGCAACGAACAATCAATAGATTGTCAAGACGAGTGTCACGTCGAACACAGCGACGTGTTCGGGAATTTTCAAACGAGGAGGAGAGGGGTCGAACATTTGTTTTATACAGATCTGAAGGTTGGCTTTGTCTCCTTCTAAATATATTATTTCTATACGTCTTTATTTCAAATTTCAATTAAGTATGATGGTAAAGCACAAAATATGTTGACCCATGTATCTCACATATACTCCGTAGTATATTTCATAAACACTCATTATTTGATGGAAAAAAAAACCACAGTCAATGGGGGTTGGGAAGTGTCGAATCCACTGCCCCTCAACCGTAAACATGCTCTTCCATGACGAATGGTCAAATGTAATATTCACAAAAGCAAGACACAAAAACCTGGAACCTAAAAAACCTATCGTTTATATCAAAATATAAATGAGATAATACCTATAGTAGGAAAACTCGTATCTTTCTTGTTATCATCTGATGTGTTTGGGCGCAGTCATCTGGATTTAGTTCTAACCATTGATCGCAGTGAAAACAATGTGAATACAACGAAGTGTCTCTTTACTGTATAGTGTAATATTATTTAGAATGTACCTTATTAGTTAGAGCAGAGTGGCCAACCGCATAATGCATTCTGATTGGTATTTTATCTGAATCCATGGGTCAAGCTTATTGACATTTCAAAGTTTTCGACAACAAAATAAAGAAATTTATCATAAAAAAAAAAACAAAAATAATTGTTCTCAATAATATAAGTTATAACGTATAACAGTATAATAATCTTGTCACTGATTAGAAATTCTCTAGACCACAGTATCCGTGTATTGTTTAGATTTCCGATCTTTTTTTTAAATTGTTTAAACCAATTCGTCGTGAAAATCGATAAGGAAAAGAAAAATGATTTATTTTCAAAAGCTTTAAAGAAGTAGTTAACGAGTACAACTCAATATAATATAGTTGTATATGATCTCCGAGTTGGCCCCTGGAAAATACAAGTTATTTTTTTTAAAGAATTTGAATATATTTATTGATATACTGATACAACAATTTGAAAAAAACTAATGGAGAATTAAACTTTGTTCGCACTCCTACCTCTTTGTATACTTTGAGTATACAATCACCACGATCGACTGTTCCAGGAGGCGGAAACACCATCACGGTTACGGACTGAACCGGGCCCAAAGTAGAAAGGAAACCGTTTTTTTTTTTCTTTATAGAATGGTCACGTAAAAGGCGATAAAAAAAATAGCCGACTGCCTCTATATATTATATATAATATAAAACAAATCTAATCGTTTTTTTTCCACTACCGTTTTTCCAGGAGGTCAGTTGAAAAACGTATAAATCGTATACGCCGAACGTGTACACGACAAATTTCACTTGGAGCGAGTTTCCATAGTCCACCGCAGCATCCCTCGTCTCGGACGTGTCCGTGTCAACGGGTCGCGTACGTGGCAACCGAGAGAAATCGCTTTTTAGGGTTTTAGAAATATTTATTGTTTCCGCAATGGCGAAATATAATGTAAAATTAAACATATGGAATATGTTCGGATTTAACGTATTTAAGGTTGCACAAACTCCAATGAAAACCCTTTCGAGACGATAATTCGAATTTCGGTCTCTGAATGTCGAATTTTATTAACTAAACACGTGATATTTTAAACTTTTGTAAAACGTATATAAACTGCTTCGCAGTGACGCACAGAGAAATTTTCTAAAAATTGTTTAAAACAGGAAAAATAGAATTAATGCATATTAAACAACATAAAATTATATATTAATATATTTATCGCGTAAATACACATGTCGTTTGAAAACCGAACGGGTTTACTTTTCGTTTTAAAAGATTTTTTTTTACCAACACTCCGTGACCGTAACATTTCCCTCGAGAGTAGCGAGAAAAACCGTATACACATTGTTATATTATTTTACGAACTACGTGTATGACGAAATCCTCCTATAATATAATATATCCAAACCTGGCCCGCAAACGCGTACGTGTTTAAGTTGATGACGAAGACACGTAGGTATACGTGTCCTGTCGGTTTTTTTTTGGGGGGGGGGTTAGTCACGTGGGAATATTATACGTACTGACGGACTGACGACTCGCCGTAACCGGATTTTAATCGAGAATCCGATAAGACACGCGTATTATACAATATTACCGGAATCTTAAATTAGACGTATACGGTATAAACAGCCGCGCAGCTAGGACTTCGGTGCCCCGATGATAAGGTAAGTCCGAGGCCCAAAAATTAATACGTCTGTTTAATATATAGGAAAAATTATTTTTTAAATTTTTTTTGTTTCAGACACGTCCCAAGAGGAGGGGATCGATCGCTCTAGATACGTTGTCGTAGTCGGCGTAGGCGTTGTTGAAGTTGAGTACAAATTAAAGGTATTTAGGAATGCAAATTAGAAATAATACGCTGTGGATAGTTGATAATTTGATAACTGATAAATTTAATTCACACTATACGCAGTGTTCAGATTATTCGGTATTTTTCTTCTAAATAAAAAAAAACACATTTTTTTTTTTAAATGAGCGTATAATAATCTGACCTAACAATACACCTATAACTCATAAGACAAATGTTATTAATTTCATATTTTTAAAACAGTTAAATTTTCAGCAATATTTCTGGTAGAAAACATCGTATAATATAATAAAAACAATGAAAACAATAACGCCGCGGCGCCCAGTAAATATTTGCCGTTTCACCTATAATTTGTTTTGCTGTTTTTTCCAATTATATCGAAAACCCATCAGAAAATCATAAAATTACATCATTAACGCACCCACGAGAGAAAATTACCTTTCAGAATAAGCGCTATAGTGTATAGTTAAGGTAGAAAAGTTGTTTACAGACGCAAAAAGTAAAACCAATAGATCCCTCGCTACGCTCCGAATCTAAAATGTATCTTGATGAATTCATTTAGATTAGTGAAACATTTATCTAAGATAAATGCAATCTAGACATTGCCTTGTAACTATTTATATCGATAAGATACAAGATGAATAAAATAATTATCTAGATATGTCCGAACACTGAAATTATAATCGTTACGGAATAATAATATTAACCGCGATGACGCAGAACGTTACAAACATGTTTACCGTACGACAATAACTATTATACTATCGTATCCGTTACAGATACAAATCACTGTTATGGACGAAACAAACGTGATATTATTTATAGCGAGATGTCCTGAACCGCGGTGGCAATCACGCGAGAAACACGCGTAGCCGTTCGAGTATACACGCAGAAGAATACGGGCGCCTAGACAATAAGATCGAGGGTGTAGAATGTAAACCGAATTATACTGTTTCTCCGGATACCATAAACAGCTAGGGCTAGCCGTGTAACAGGACTCGGGGTCCTTTCGTCCGTTTAAAACCCGGGGTTGGGAATCGCTATCAATCCCGGGGTGTTGCGCCCGCACCGGGCATGGATATTTCTATAGCGCGCGGTTTTCCTCGCGGTCGTTATAAACCGTTTAAGAGGCCGAGGCGTTTGGCCGGTTTTCTTCGGGGTTATACTTGTTGCGGCGCATAATGCAATAATAGTACCCGCCTTGCCCTCTCCCGTTCCCATCGTCGTTTCTGTGGTGGCGATCGCAGTGCGAATTTAACCGATATTTTCGGGGCCAAAAACAGAATCATCGCTTTTCAACGTGTCGACAACAACATTGCGGCGTAACACAGTATCTGCGGTTAGGTTGGGCGTTATTTACGGATCCGAATAATACACGTATAGTGTAATACATTACACAGTCGAACAACAGACATATCGAAAACGTGCGACGAAAGATCCGAAAGACGCCTGCGACTGACGAGCTGACTGTCGATGATCGTCGTAGTGATTTGCTCCGCGCCGATGCGAATTGAAAATTTGAAACGTAAAAATCAGACATTGTATCCCAGGCGCCGTTTCGCCTAAACGTTTTCATTCGATACGAAATTTTGTTTCAAATCGTTCATGTTCCGTCTAAAACGAATGGATCGCGGTGCCGATATTATCGTCCCTCGCAACAGCAATTTAGAGGCCAATTTGTTTTCATTCGGACGACCAACGTGGTGGTGAAGCGAATAAGCGACGAAAATAATATTCAACGACTTCCGGGTAAAAGGGGCCAAATCGTTTTTTCGAAAATGTGATTATGACCATTTAAAATTCAAATTTTAATTTTTAAATTGGGTATGAGGGGTTATCTCATAGTCTCGTTTTTATAGGTGATAAGAGAAAGAGTATATGAGACACAACACAAATAAAACTGTGTATATGGTTGTAAGTTGATAGTTGCCCTTCGACCATCGATCTAATTTAAATTCAAAACGTTATAACATCTTTTACGCAGAATTCATCGCGAATTGTATAGGCACGAGTACCGCGAGATCGCAAATCAAATTGTCGGAGACCGAGGACCGACATTTGAAAAAGTGGCCTGACCGGCGAAACACCGAACTGAATTCAAATCCGTTCTCGGAATCCTTATCGGTTCGCCACGGACGTAGATCGGACGGACCGGAGAATAAAAATCGCCCATTACATTATAATGTTGCGTGCGGGGCCGTTTTTACGGACGGATCAAGGAAATACGGACGTCGCGGTACCCGATGATCCCTTTAAATGTGCGGAATTCGCGATAAATCCGTAACGGCCGGTGTCGTCAGCACTGCAGTGCTTTCACGTTTCGCGTGCACGTATACTACCGAACGAATATTTTTTTTGTTTGTTTTTTTCTTTTTTAAAATCTATGTTTATTCGCGTACCGATAACATACGCGCGGATGGTAGGTACCTATATACCTACACGTATATTAGTACAGTTGCGCGGCTTCCGTAAAAAAACGGTAAGGTTTCTTTTTCCTGTACCTATGAAAAAACATGTTATGGATATCGATTGACGCGCTTTATGCGATATTTCAAATAATAACAATAACATCAATTATTTCAATAATATCGTCGTAGAGATATGTAAATAGTTATTGTGTATCGTTTTTGACGGGACTTTGAACAATATAATAATATCGTTGTTACTGACGAATGTTGATAATTATTGCAGCCATTAATCACGGGATAATAAATCCGTTGTGGTTGCATACGCAGTGGCGGGTCTTTTTGTGCACATCCTTTAGAATGTTTTTTTTTTTTTTCTATCGACATTCTGAGCGGATAAAGTAATGTATCGGTTTCACTATGATTTGCTGTCTATGATTATTAAAAACAATCATAGACAG